CCTAAACCCTGAACCCTTAACCCCTATATACAACCGTAAACCCCTGAACTTCCGGATCTCGCTTCCCTCAGCCCCCCACCTCGCGCAGCTCCAGGGCCACCGGGGACCCAGCGCCGCCGGCGCGGCCCTGGGACTTGACAGGAAGTCCCTGCTTCCAGTAGTCGTGGTCCTTCAGGGCTCAAAAAACCCTAAACCTCCCCAGACCCTAAACCTTAAACCCTAGGCCCTAAAAGCCCCAAAAAGCTTAGAGTTTAGGGTCTTGAGGTTTAAGGTTTGGGGTATTGCGGCTTAGGATTTGGGGCTCTGAGGTCTCGGGCTTTGGGGGGTTTTGAGGTTTGGGGTTCGGGGGTCGGGTTCAGGGCTTAAGGTTTAGCTAGGGTTTGGGGTTTTGAGGTTTCGGGCTTGGGGTTTAGGGCTTAGGGTTTGGGGTTTGGGGTTTAAGGTTAAAGCTTCCCGGTGCTCTGCATAGCAAAAATATCCCCTTGTAAGCAAAGCATACCGGCCCCGATTCAATCACCCAGGGCCCTAAACCCTAAAACCCCCCCAAAAACCCCTAAACCCCTCAGTTCTTTTGAGAGCTGTAGGATCTGTGGGGTTGAGGAGTTCCGGGCCTGGGGAAGGGGGCTCTGACCCTGTACCTTGGAGTCACTTTACGGTTTAGGACTCAGTTCCGCGTGCCCCCAAACCTTTCCCAGAGTAACCTAAAGCCTCCTAAACTCAAACCTACACTTCGGAGATACTGCAGGAACCTGATTCAGAAACCCTGCGTCTTTATTAGGGTTCTAAAATAAGAATCCTAACAATAGGGGGTTATAGGGCCAGGGTTTCTTCATCAGGTTCCTACATTACCCTAAACCCTGAGCACAAAACCTAAACCATGGAGATCTTCGCTCTTCCACCTGCCGGAGGTCCTGCTTGTCCCCCTCCCAAGCCAGGCTGGCATATTCGGCCACCCGCTGCGCACCTCCAAAGAACTTCCTGGGTCGAAGAAAGTGTGCGTGTGTGTGTGCCCATTTTGGGGCGCGGAATTGGGCTTAGGGTTTAGGGTGGGTGGGTGTCATTAAAGGGCCTTAAGATTAGAAAAGGTGTGCTCCTGGGCGGCGAGCTATCAGGTCTCAAAGGGTCTTATGGGGGCAGCCAGTACTACAAAGATAGCGGGACGAAAACGGCACACCATGACTAACTGTACTGGTACTGTTTGCTCAGGCCTCTACCTTAGGGCTTGGGGCTTTAAGGCTTACTTTCTTTGTCAATATGACAAACTTCAAAAACAAAAAATCTCCCTGGAACCCTAAACCCTAAACTGCCACCCAGCTTCTCGAAGGTGCTCCAGCACCAGAGGTAGAGGGGAATGCGCTGGGCGAGGCCGACAGTCAAAGCCAACCCCAAGCCTCCCAATTCCTGGTTTAAGGTTTGAGCTTTGGGGTCTAGGGTTTAG